CCCCAAAACCCCAAAACCCCAAAACCCCATGCAGCTTTTATATTTAATTTATGATAATTTTAAAAAATAAATTAGCAAATAGTTTAAACTCAAAATGAGCAAAAGAGAAGAGAAGTAAGCAAGGAAATCTCAGGAGAAAGATTTTAGGTCTGATGTTTTAAATACCAAGAAATTAATCCTAGAGGATGACTTTATATCTTTTAGCTCTGTAGATTAATCTAAATTTATTGAGAGAAGAGCAGACTACGAGGATTTCAATGCAGATGACATAGGAGATGATTTAGAGACAAAGATTTCATAGAAGTATAACAGAGATTAATACCCTTGGCTGACATCTGACACTCAAAAGATTAGAGATGTTTCCATATTCTTACACAATGAGATCTTAGACTTTGTGAGCTTCATCTCTCCTAGTGAATCTGATCTAGAGGTGAGGAGGCAAGTAGTAAAATGCTTAAAGGAGGTAATCCTATCAGTATTACCAACAGCTAATGTGCTAGTCTTTGGTTCATGTGCGACTGGATTGAATCTACCCAACTCTGACATAGATTTGTAAGTCTACTAGCCTGAAATTAGTGAAAAGACCATGATAACTAAGATATCAGATGCAATAGTTCAGCATAAGATGTGTAGATCTATTGAGGTATTGAAGAACGCTAAGGTTCCAATTATTAAATTTAGGATAAAGATGTTGATATTTCATTAAATAGAATCAATGGGATATACCGTGTTCAATTTGTTAAAGCTTTACTTAAGAAGTAAGCTGAACTCAAGCCTATGCTGATGATATGAAATTGCTCTATCAAATCAAGATAACTGGATGAGCCTTATTATGGAGGTGTTGAGTCATTCCAGCTAACTATGCTGGTCACATCATATTTATAAAGGAGGTACAAAAGGTGAAACTGATAAATAGATTTTAGAAGTCATTTGATACATTTTCCATAGTTATACGTAACTAAGTTAAACGATGAATTTATTGAAATATCAATTTAATTAAGATCTGTAAAGCCTTTTAGCAATTAGAGATAATGGATTATACTATCAGAAGTTGAAACGAGGTAGTTAAGGTTATGATGAGAAAATTGTTAAAATAAACTGCTGAAATCTATTAGGATTCTGAATTGGATATCAGAGATAGTGCCTTTAATATCAAAAATCTTTTAAGAGCATTCTATCATGCTTATGATGCATTCATATTCCAAAATATCAATAGTTTCAGCAATTTTTTTAAAAAAACTGATTATTGCTTTTGATCCCTTTGAGCATAAGCCTAGCTGGAGATATCATGTGTCTTTTGAGTTTGCACCTTAAAATCTATTGAGTGATTTGCAT